CTACACAAAGGTAGAGAGGGGAAAGTGCCGAGATTGGGTGTCATGGACAGTCACATGCCACATGACCAGTGTGCAGAGAGGACAAAGATGAAAGTCAATAATGTGATTTCATAAATTCTTACTTTGTTTGTGGAAGACTTATCAGTATTTGATGAAGTAGATTTGCACATATTATGCATTTTTATGGGGAATGGAACCTGTACAGAAGGCCAAACCAACTAGTGTTGACCATGGCTGTCATGGTGATTCAGACGTTATATGGATGGTCTCTAGTTAGAGCAAATTTGACGGTAAGGAATATGGTTTCATATATTTGTTCTTTGGGGAACATAATAACGTTTCACAAAATAATGAGGTCAATTTTCTTTATAGGTAAGAAACTTCCACGACGAGCAAGTAACAGCATTGCCACTAGTAGACAACATGAAATGTTGACTAGCAATACGTTCGATCGGCACTTGGGGAATGCTTCTCACCTGCGTCCATGTAATTTTTAAATCGAAAACTTTTTGGTGGTGTTGATAGTTTTGGTTATGATAGGAAACTATGGATAAGATCTACACATGTTGACATATCGGATTTCAAGTGTCTCAATTCCATGTGGTTTTTCTTGTATTTCGTACGAGCTGGTAGGCAGAAGGTTGTGAAATGGATTAAAAAAAAGGACATATTCTCTACGAAATATGTGCTCATTCCCATTGTATTATGGTTAGTCAATGTTTGCTGATTTTTATAAATGCAAGGTAATTTTCGATTCTATTGATGGGGGTGCTATTATTCTACATTTCTGCATATGCAGGGGTCACTAGAGTTTGCTGATCTTATGCAACTTTGGGGAAGTAGCGCGATCAGAACCCTACATAAGCTGCATGCTATTGTTGGATTCACTTCGATCGGCTAACCCAAGGAGGTTTGAACCTCTGATAAGAAAGTAAGGTCTTCTAACAATTTTCAAGATCCTGCTCCAAATTTTTCACTTGTGCTAGAATCTGTGGCTAATATTGCAGCTAATTTTAATTCCACAACTTGTTCCACAAGTTTGCCCTCGATATCACTGCTGTTGAAACAACAACGGGAAAGACTAACCGAGTGGCTGAAATACCTCTCATGGTGCCTAATGTGTGTAGGGCTACACCCCACAGGGGTCACATTTTGGATTTTCGTTGTCATCTGTGCATATGCTCACTGACTTACTGAATGTTATGTGTGTCCAGGTGCCCCAGCAAAGGAACCAAACTGATTGCGGCTATTTTGTGCTTTATTATATATATAAGTTCCTCGAATGTGCACCAGCGAAATTTTCCCTAATCGAAAGGAATTGCCACTCATAATTTTTTACATCATTTTCCATCAAGATACAATTGCTTATTCATTATGTTGTTGTGTAATTTGTGCCTCACCATAAATGAAAAATGATAGGTTTGGGGAGGATGATGTCAAATCTTTCCATGACAAATTGCTGTTGGACATCGCGTAGAGTGAGGCAGTGGTAATCATTTGCTGTTGTAATTGCCGATTTAATATAATATGGGCTATGTCACCATTGATCATGATCATGGTCATGAATTGTATTTGCATCACTAACAAGTATGATTTCCTAACTTGTACAGATCTATGAAAACAGCAAAAAAGGTTAAAGCTAGAGTAACATGCATTCGGCCGCATTGTTTTATTGTAAATTCTGTGTTTCCATAACTATTGTACAAAAAGTAGTTCATGTGTTACAAAACAAAATTCCAAAACAATCCAACATTATGATAAGGCATAACTTTGTTTTTCTTTTCTATTGAAATATCTATTACATACAAATGTTTGTTTCAAATAGCTAAATTGCAACAGTTTCATCAGATGTATGGATGGTGGGATGTGTTTCGGAATGGGCTGAAGAGGGGTGTGGATTATGGATTTTTCTTTTGTGTTTGGAGATTTTTGGTGGGGTTGGGTGCATTTCAATGTCTGGTATGCTATAGAGAGAGGAATGGGTTTTCTGTTGTTTGTGGGTTGTTGTTTTGTGTTTTCTCTTTGGTTGTAGTTTTTAGTTGTGTAGTAGGTTTTTTACTGCAGGATATGGTTTGCATGTTTGATGCATTAGGTGACGGTGTTATGGAGGAACGGGACATGATCGTATGACGACTGGGCAGGGGTGTTGAGAGCCTGCACTGCATGTTTGAGCTACAAGTTGTGTATGTTGGTTTAACAGTTGGTGGGTGTTGCTGTTGGGCTTGAGGTTGATGTCTGTGCAGGTTTGTAATGGTGTGTTTAGGGTGATGAATGCCAGTATTGCAGTGTACCTTGTTGCTGCTGTGTTTGTTATTTTATGTTTCAAATTTCTTAGTGCGGCTTAGGAAAAAAGGCTCATTGGTCATTTCCCACAATATTGCTTTGTAAAAGAACCAGTTACCCAGAATAAAAAATAAAAATTGTTTGCAATGGTTATATTTTGTTACATAATTTAAGCAAAAACTTAGAAAAGATTCGCCCAACTCTTAAACTTTGAAGGGACAAGTATAGAAACTAATTGCAAATGGGCAAAATTATACCTCTTTAACCAAGCAAAGCCATAATTGATTCCCAAACATCAGAACTAGTAAGGGTATTTTTGTAAAATAACCTTATGTAATATAAAATTATTGTCAACCAAACACTATTATCAATTATAAATCCCCTGCAAACCAAACACAAAAATATTTTATACTCGGTAATCTTCAAGGTAATCTACCTTTCCATTAATATAATATTCTCGAATAATAAAACATTCCCTTAACCAAACGCTACCTTCATGTTTTCTTAGAAAATTTAAGGCATTGCCCATTGATGTTGTACCATTCATCAATATTCTTTGAACTTCATCTTTAGATTTGCCTTGAAGAGATCCCACAGCTCCAGTATCCAAAGCAAGAATTCAGTTGCTTTAGGATTGATTCAATCACATGCTTTAGGGCATCTCCAACCCTACGTCATTTTGGTATTTTTACACCAAAATGACGCAAATTTCTACTCCAACCCAGCGCCATTAGCTGTGCCAAATTGGTGTCCTGCTACAGTGCCACGCCAAATTTGGTGCAGCACTGTAGCTCCACACCAAATTGGCGTGGCACTATTCATACATTAAATTTTTTTTTTAATTTTTTTTATTTGTATTTAAGTTAATTTGATTATTATTTATATTAATAAATTCATAATAATGATATAATTCAAAAAATGATGAAAAATTAAAAACAAAACTTTATTCAATGCAAATATTAAACTCCTGAAGTTGAAATTGTCGTAGATGAAAATGTCCGATTTCAAAATTTTCTTACTCGACATAGATAAATCAAGGATACAGAGGCTCACCATGCTCTTTGAAATACATTAATTGATCATTTGTGGGAGGAATATACTAATTCGGAAAATTAAATTACTATCAATATGGAATTTTACTTTTGTGTTGTTGTTATCTTTTTTTTTTTTTGGTGTCATTTTATATTAGATGTAATGTTTTTCTATATTAATTGTAACGTTTATTTGATTAAATAAATGCTTAATTTTATTAAATTAGTATAATTTTCAAAGTAATTATTATTTAATAAAAATATCATTCCTAATATTTAATTAATATATATATAAATAATGAGTTAAATAGATTAATTATTGGTTATTACAATAAAAGAAAAAGAAAGAGAATATTCTAAAGAATATTCCTTTTGGTGTAATATTTGGTGCAATAGGTTGGAGATGCAATAGTATTTTACACCAAAAATCACACCAATTTGGTGTTAAACTTGCACCAATTTGGTGCAATGGGTTGGAAATGGTCTTAACATACATAAGTTATCATTAATGATACATCATTTAAATATTGGAATAATTTTTGTAGACGTAAAAATCTACCTGTACGGAAGAGGAGACTAATCCCATGAGCTTGAGACCACTAGCGATCCGCTGTACCTACACACGTAGAAAAACAAACGTGAAGCGACGGAAAATACTGGGGTGGTTTTTGCCGTAGGCACTCCGACCCTCAAGTCAGCAAGGCTGAAAAATGCTGATTTAGTGAGGGCTAGGGAGTAGAGAGATTACCAGAAGTCTAGTCAGAGCCTGTGACTACGGTTGTGGTGTGAAGTTCTCAAGTGGGAACTCCGGGGTCTAAAGGTGTAGTGTAATCTGCCTTGTGAGAGGGATAGCCTCTGTTTAAATAGTGACTGTTTGGTCTCCCAATCTTGATGGGATTGGGAGTTCTCATAGCAATATGTTTCCCCCAGGGATACGCTCTTTGACCCCCTAATCCTGGCGTGAGAGGGAATCCTAGCGTGACTCTGACACGGACCTTAGGGGAGTTGGGGCGGTAGTACGCTACCTTACTAGTGTTTGAATAGGAAAGTGATCTATGGGTACCCGTGGACTCTGAATTCGCTCATAGGTCTCGGAAGTGAACTGGGATTAGGAGGCTTGTGCCCCGGATGGTTTGGGTCTCGTATCGAATTGGCCTAATCCGGATTGAGCCGCATCGGGATTGGGCCTTGTCTATCTCTCATTGTCGATCCCGCTTTCCTATTTGAGCCAATGACGATTTTTGGCCGTAACAATTTTCCTAAAAGATAGTTCTCTTTCTTATGTGAATATCTTCTCCTTCTGTGAACCTTTCACCTAAATTGATTATTTATTTCTCCTTTATGGTGTTAGGTGGGAATATTTTTTTCTCTGTTTGCTTCTACAGTCGTCTTTATTAACCAGAAATTGAAAGATTCGCGTAAAAGATAGTTCTCTTTCTTATATGTATATCTTCTCCTTCTGTGATCCTTTCACCTAATTTGATTATTTATTTCTCCTTTATGGTGTTAGGTGGGAATATTGTTTCTCTATTTGCTTCTACAATCGTCTTTCTTAACCAGAAATTAAAAGATTCGTGTAAAGATATTGTGTGATGTATCATGAAATTTTAAATTTAACTATTGATAGTGGAGTATTAGTCATTATATTATATAAATGCAAGAAACTCTGCTGCCCAAAGAGGGGTTAAGATCACTACTACTAAGCATTTTCTGAAATCATGCCTACAGAGAACGTTGGAACTTCGACCGACGATCTTCCTAAATACTTGCAGGAACATTGCCTGACACAAGAATGCCACCACTTGTTATCTTCCCTTCCTTCCGAAACCGGTTGGGTTGCCGATCATCTCTATCAATACCAAGGTTTTTGGCACCACGTTAGGCAATTGCAAGGAGTTCTAACATGTCGGAATCACCTCCAAGCTCAAGATTCAGACATCCTCCTTGTCTCCACTCCTAAGGCGGGCACCACTTGGTTAAAGGCTATAATATTTGCCCTAGTCAACCGTTTGCGCTATGTTGATGATCCTCAACAACACCCTTTGCTCACAAACAACCCTCACGAGCTTGTCCCATTCTTGGAACTTCAACTATACGTTGATAATCAGGTTCCTGATCTCACCAACTTAGCCACTCCAAGGCTCTTTGCAACTCACCTTCCATTTGTCTTATTGCCTACATCTGTCAAGGACTCGGCCTGTAAAGTTGTTTATTTGTGTAGAAACCCTAAAGACACTTTTGTGTCACTTTGGCATTTTGCGAACAAGTTAAGACCTGCAGAAAAGGGTAAGAATTGTCTTGAAGAGATTTTCGATAGATTTTGCAGGGGAGTGAGCATATGTGGACCCTTTTGGGATCATGTTTTGGGCTACTGGAAGGCGAGCTTGGAATTTCCTGAAAGGGTAATGTTCTTGAAGTATGAGGACATGAAAGAAGAGCCAGAAGTTCATGTGAGGAGGTTGGCGGAGTTCTTGGGGTGCCCATTTTCGGCTGAAGAGGAGACAAAAGGTTTGGTGGATTCTATCTTGAAATTATGTAGTTTCGATCATTTGAGTAATTTGGAGGTAAACAGAAGCGGAAAAATGTCGTCGGGTGAAGAGTATAACTTCTTCTTTAGGAGAGGAGAAATTGGAGATTCAGAGAATCTTCTTACCTCTGAGATGATAGAACGGCTTGATCAAATTACGGAACAGAAGTGGCATGGATTTGGGTTAAAATTTTAATTTAACCAATTTAAATATTGTAATATTTACTATCATGCAGGCGTACATAGTCGTGGTTTTTGAGGCGTCCAGTGTTAATGTAAGTGTGCTACGTAAATTAAATAATGGCAAAGTAATACTAAGGTGCTGGGTAATAATTACCCGTTTAAGCCTTTGAATTACCTTCCAAACTTAATTATCTGCCCTTTAAATGAAAATTTTCAAATTTTAACTTTTATATATGAAGCGATGTATGTTTGTTTTGAAAGTGCATATCATGATATTCTCAATCATATAAAAATCACATGACCTCCAAGTTAATATCATGTAATATCAATTGGTTGAAAATAAAAATTGAGATGTATAATATATATTTTTAATTAATTATAGGAAAAAAAAAAAAAAGAACATCCTTTAGAGGAGAGTACAAGAATTCTGAATTTCTGATGCACTAATTTGATGTTGTAATTGACAGTCAATGGCGACAGTCTAGCGCCAACAGTTTCATTTTACATTTGTATCCTGCAGCTCAAGGCTGCAAACGCGAGCTCGGTTGTTCGTTCGATAACTATTTGATTTGACTCAATAACAAACTGTTCGTAAATAGTTCAATGTTTGTTTGATAATATGTTCGATTCGAGTTCGAACATAGGATGTTCGTTCGATTATATTCGCGAACATGATACGTTCAACTAATCAATCTGTTTACGAATAATCTGTTCTATTATTCTTTCGTTTATGTTCGAAAAAAATAGTATACATTATTATATATATTTATATTTTTTTTCATTTTTATATTATGTTTGATTTAGTTTGGATTAATTTTTTTAATGGTAATCAATAATAAAATATTGTCATGCTTTTGTTTTTCTTATATATATAATATGTTTGGATTTTTTTTTTTCAAATGTCATCAATAATCAAATATATAACTATATAACATTTTAATTAAAAAATAATATATTATTATGATACATACATAACTTAATAACATAATAACTTCATATTTTTTCAAATGTAATCAATAATTAAATATTATGAGATAGCATTTCAATTAATAAATAATAAATATAGTATAGTAAACTACTGAACATAACATATTGTATATTCAAGTGATGTATAGCGTGAAAAATTTAATAACATAATAGTTTAATTAAATATAGTATGGTAAATTGATGAACATAACATATTATATAATCAAGTGATATATAGTATGATAAATTTAATAACATAATAGCTTAATTAAACTTAAATTAATCACACATTTGTATTGATCATATATTACAATAGACCATCATACCACTATGAATTTATGGGTGTTAATACAAAATATATATGTAGACAGTAATGATAATATATATATATATATAAAATTTAATAACATATTAATCAATGATTGATATACTTATGATAATAATTTTGTATATACACAATTACACACACACACACACACACACACACACACACACACATATATAACAAATTAATCACACAGATGTATTGATTATATATTACAATAGACCCTCATGCCACTATGCCACTATGAATTTGTAGGTGTTGATATAAAATATATATACAGATAATAACGATAATATATATATATTAAGAGTATAATAGATAGATATATACTAAAACAAATTAATCACACTATGTATTGATCATATATTACAATAGACCCTCATTCACTATGAATTTATGAGTGTGATACAAAATATATAAGTAGACATAATATTTATAATAATTTATGTAATATAATATATAAACAATAATCTACATATTATGATCATTTATTATTAGCCTCATTCTACATGAATTTATGAGTGTTGATACAAATATATACGTAAAAATTTAAAATTTTAATAATTATGTAATGGTTATATATATATATATATAATATATATATACCCCAACCCAATTCCACATTTTCCCTTACCCAACCTAGCCCAAATTTTAAACAAAAATCCTAACCCAATCCCTATTTTTCCCTTACCCACCCAGTCCAAATTTTAAAACAAAATCCAAACATAATTCCACATTTTCCCTTACCCGGCCCAAATCCAAATCCAATTCCACATTATCCCTCTTGCAAATTGCACAACCTCACTCACAGTCCTAATTTTTTCTGCAATTTTGAGCTTCCTTAATGCCTCAACGCAACACACGCTAGCACCTCAGCACTCAACAGTTAGCTTTAGCCCCCATCAAATTGAGAAGGCCAGAGAATAATTTTATTTCAAAATCATTATCCTTCTTGCATTATCTCAGCTTCAATGAAAATGAAATCTATTTTGCATAAACAAATCGATGACAAGGAGTGAGAGGTCACGGCTGTTTTTACTGACATCCATGCTAAAAGAGAGAGGCAAACGATCTTGGCCACAACACAGGTTGCACTTTCTGCTTATGAAAATGTTGTTTCTAAAATTTGTTTAAGATTTATGCTGATGTTTGGTAGTGCCCGTGAATTTGTGTTTGTATCTGAATGTGATATATATTCTTAATGTTTCTACATATGCGCTATACATATTCACATTGTGGGCAAAGATTAGATTAGATTGTTAATCAAACGATCACAAACTTATCGTTTTGTTAATCGAACGAACTTGACCAACCATTTTGTGTTCATTCAAGTTCGAACATGATTTCGAACACCCATTGGTGCTTATCGAACAGTTTCGAATGGGGGTATTCGTTCGTGTTCGGTTTGTTTGCAAGCCTAAGCTCAACCAAGAACCCATTTTTTTTTTTTTTTTTAATGGCCAAGGATATGTGGGTCAGGTTACCACACCCTCAATTAATTTCTCAAAACTGATTATCAGCTAAGCAAGAGTTCCAATGACTGCTCTTATTAGCAATCAAAGATAGACTCAAACTCAAAACCTCTTAAGTAATACATTCAAAAGTCCTTACGAACCACTCAATCATCTAGCGGTAGTTAACTAAACTAAGAACCCATTGCATAATGCAATTTTAATTTTTTTTTTTTCTTTTTTGGTGACCAAGGGTGTCCGGCCCACTTGTGCACATCTCCACTAACCCCCAGCCCTAGAGTTGATAACCGATAAATCTCTTTAATGGTCACCCCTATAACAACCCAGATAGATTAACTCCTAAGTAATACACCTAGAATCATAGTTGACCGCTTTCATTTATTATTCAAAGAAAATCCCTTTAAAATTAGCCATATTCAATGGAACTTTCAGTAAATCCTACTTTCCTATCTTCCTCATAAAATGCCCAACTGCTAGAAGAGGAATGGGCGATATGCTTTGAACACTTAGATTTTTTTTTTTTTTTTTTTTTAACTTTCTTCCATTAAAACGATTTCATTATTATCATAATTTATTTTTGTTTGATTTTTTTTAATACCTTAAATTGGGCAACATTGATGATACGAGATATATTTAATTCAATGTTTTGTATAGGTTATTTAAAATCGATATTTTTTGTTGATTTGCTTATTTAATGGCGTATGTTTCAGGGTAGATTTATAACGGTAAACGACATGCTCCGACCCAAGTTTCGCAAATCTACAAGTTCCCCCCTGGTTTCATAAATTACATTCCCCCCTTAACTATGAAAATCCTTTAATATAACGGTGAATGTTAAATTGGTCATTTTCTAGGAGGAGAAAGAAGAGAGGATAAAAAAACTCTCTCAACTCTAATCTCTTCCTCTTCCGCTTTCCCCATCTTGTCGATGCCATCACCACCACCCACCTTTCTCCGATCCTTCCGACGATTGTCTGCCCAACCACTGGTTAGACTTGCCCAGCCTAGTTCTAGTTGTGATTGTCCATCTCCTCTCGCATTTCTCCATTTTTTCTCTTCACTACAACACAACTTTTGCCTTTCTAGTGAGTGCATTGCCCAGCCCATCAATTTATTCACCTCAACCAACACACCAAATCTTAAGCCGGTTACTATATAAATGACCATTTTTTTGGGTTGAAATGAAGAAAGTGAAGAGGAAAGGAGTGGGAGATTTTGGTTCTATTGTGCCAAAAATACACACTGATGTCAACACACCACCCATCAGAGTTCAACAACCACTTAAATAAGGGGTATTAGCTGTCAAAACCCCAAACCATCCAGAGATATTTTATATCAATCCTATCCCTTTTAAATAAGGATTAAGAGCGGTCTCCACGTGTCAAGACAACTTGCAAAAGCACTCATTACATTGACCTCAAAGGTGTATAAATGGGCACTCTCTCTTCGTGAACACGGCGTGGCTAGGCATGAGAGCTAGGCAAACATTTGAACTTTATTATTTTTTTATCTGTAAACAAAGCATTTTCCCATTTTTTGTATGCCTTCCATATAAGATCAAAAAAAAAAAAGAATAAAATAATGGTGGATGTAGGATTCGCTTTAAGCATCCGAACCACTATAAAAAATCTTTCTTTTCTATCTATTTATTATGTTTCTCTACAAATATATATAATCTTCCACCATAAACACTTCTACTTCTCTAGAATCATTCACGTATAATTCTAAGTCAACTTAACACTTTGCACGTGAGAGTCGTTGGTGTTCAAATCTAAACCACCTCCAGAGATTTTTATATTAATCCTATCCATTTTAAGATAAGGATTAAGAGTGTTCCCCACGTGTCAAGACAACTTGCAAAAGCCTCATTAATTGATCTCAAAGATGTATAAATGGTCACCTCTCTTCGTGAAAAACGGGCTGGCTGGGCATATGAGAGCTAGGCAACATTTGAGCTTTATTATTTTTTCTTTATAAACAAAGCATTTCTCATTTTTGTATGCCTTATAGGCAATATCAAAAAAAGAGTTAGAGAATAATAAAATAACAACGGTTGTAGGATTCGCTTTAAAGCATCCGAACCACTATAAAATCTCTCTTGTCTATCTATTATTTATGTTCTACAAACATATATATCTCAGCACCATAACACTTCTCATGATTATTCATGTGTAATTTCAAGTCAACTTAGCACTTTGCACGTAAGAGTCGTTGATGTCAAAATCCAACATCAATATATCAAAGAAAGAGAGTGAAAAGTTAGGTGGTGTGATAGTTTCCTTTACAAGTTTTATGGTTAATGCTGATTCAAGATTATGTTTTGTGATTTTTAGTGGAAAGAATTGAAGAGTTTGGTGAAGCTGTAAAGGGAAGAAGTCCATTTTGGTATTTATGGAAGGATGTTGGCTTTGGCTGCTCATGCCTGGCTGGGTTGAATTTCGAGATTATAGAGTAGATGTAGTTTTTTGTTTT